TCGTATGCCCGCATGTCTGTTCGGCAGGATTGAGAGGTGCGGCGTTCAACTCTGTGTGCAGCGACCGTACAGTGACCAATCATTAACCTTTGTTTAATCTAATCCCCCATCCTGATCATGAGTAGCTCCCTGCGTAGACACTTTATCCGTAATATACCCACTGAATAAACGTGCTCCGTGCTACACGTCTGTTTCCTTTATATCTGGGCTATAGCTTAGCTGGTTCTGGGAGTCTAGCTAGATGTTGGAGAATTTGCCATAGAGATTTCTGAGTCAGTCAGGCTTTACTAAGGTAGCAATCCGCTACATACTTATTACTCTTTCAAGTAACTTTGAAAGCTGCAAACATTCACTTTCATGAATTATTTCACTCGAACAGGATGAATTAAAAATTTAATGCAAGTAAATTAATCGAATCCTTGTGCCTACGCAGTCTACACATCGCCAGAGTTCAACCTCTTGTCCAAATTTTTTGAAGGACATGATTAAAAATTTACTACAGATATACTTATTTTCTAAGGAGCTTGGTTATATCCGTCATGAAAGAAATATTTTGTTAATAGGTGGAACCAACTCAATACCCTCCTTAATGCTTTTATTAAACGCAATTTTCTACCAAAACATAACCATATAATCAGCCAACTTTATAGGAAAATCAATGTGGATGCTAAACCGCCATCTTCTCAATTCTGGTTTCCCAACTTGTACAAATTCCTGCACTTTCTCGTATGCTCGGCCATAATTATTTGCACACTTTAAACCTATGAAACCACCTTAATTTCATTTCAGACCCGATTTACGCTACAAAATCAGCTTTACGAGTCCTGACTTTTATCTTCAGCACCTGTCAACCAATTTCTCTCGAAAATTTCTAGAACCGACTACAATAATCTCATTTGAAATACACTACTCTTTCTGATAATTTTATTAACATACTATAATTATATAGGAAAATGGATCGTACAATTGGAAGACCTTAGTTGCATGCAGCAACTGATACCATCGTGCCTTCAAGGTTAGAAAATGAGGGAAACATTTGTTCAATTAATGTAAAGAATACTTACATCTTAATTTAGCATTATCGAAAGAAGCTGCTATTGCTACTCGTATCTTAAGATTGCCTAAGTGTCCAGTTACCCTAATTCGCGGTTCAAGAGTCTACCATGTTTTCCACGTTCTTCGAACTCACCACGGCTCACCATTTGCTGAAAACGAATTTTTAACTTCCCTAATCCTTTCCTAAAACGCCTTATTGAAAAGATTTATGTTCAGCTATTTGCTACCCCTTCAAGTATAAAGCGATCAACTTTGAAATAATTAGATGAGCGATGTTAATGACCATGTTGAAATGGCAACGAAAATAAAAATAAAACACTCAAATTCAAGAGCAAGCAGATAACTTCTAATGACGTACGAGTATTGGCCTCAACACTTTGTAACGTGGGAGATGCGAATCGAACACGTGTGGTAGCAGTTGTGGTTTTTGAACATTGAGTCACAGTAGGTGCTGCTGTTGTAGTGACAGTCGTCACTGGCGAAGATTTGATTGGATTTTTCTCACTAAGCACAAAATCTACTGGGCTTCGGCGAGGAATAAAGACACTGCCGGGCCGTGCTTGCTTCACCATTGACTGCGATCGTTGGGGTAGTGGTGAAGATTGGACTTCAAGATTAAAACGAGACACCACTGCAGGAATCTCAGAGTTGACCTTGAATATAAATGATAACAGTCTTCTATTAGAATTAGAAGAAGAAATCGGGCGTAGTGATGTTCCTTCATATTCGACTACTTGAAGGAAAACCCACAAATGTTTTTGAAAAGATATCGGAAATACAGACTTTTCAACAAAAAAACACCATGACACATTTCAATGAGGAAGAATGGATAATATTGACTTTATGACATTCTACTAAATAATTGCTTTTCTGTTCCTGACTAAAATCTCATGAAAAACAACTTGAACAGGAGGTTATTGAGATATGATAATTACAAAGAATCCATTCCTATTTTCATTACGATATCAATTAGTCTGTGGTAGATGTTATGGGAGAACAAAGCTATGGAACCTCGTGGTGTGCGAATTAAATTCTAAAACCCCTCTTATTTAAAAAAACTTAAACAGATCATTGACCACTGGGCAGAGAAACCTTGACCTCTGGCCTATCAGAAGAACATGGAAGATGGTTAAATCTTTTAATCACATCAATCATCGATGAATCTGTGACGTTATAATACAAGACCAGTAGGGTTTCCATGACATTTTATTTTATTTACATAGACATTTGAAGGGCAATATCCAGAAATAATTCAGACCAGGATTCGACATTTCATTTAAAGGTACAAATACTTAGAAATAGGATCAAACATGTAGCAAAACTGAATATCGGTTAAGTAAACATCAACAAGGCATCAACCAGTAGAGGGAAATGGCATTAAATATCAAAGGCACAGGTCAATACAAAGCCATAGCAGCAAAATTTGAAAAGTTTGCCGATTTTTTGCAAGACATATCCAAGTACTTTCTTGATCTCGAATAAAACAAATTTCAGAGTTCATTTAGTGAATGCTTACTTTTCAGAATTGCATAGGATTAAAACTTTGGCAATCTTATTTTTTTATTTTTCTACCATTACGAGCTTAACAAATCATTTTGAATGGTCGTGGAAAGAGCTAAAAAAGGGACGCTTTAGTCGAAACATGCCTACAAAGACACACAGATATAATGTTAATGCAAGCCATTAATTGGCACATGCCACTTTAAATATTTTCTCAAATTTTAATACTTTCCTTACGCCTGTCACAGGCTATTTCTTTCTCTCACACATTCCCTTCATCTTCCCTTTTGTTTAATTCAAAACATATGGCCAATTTCTCCCATTAAAGATAACAAAACCATGTATTAGAATGAAAGTAGGCTTAAACAAAAAATAACAAAGGTTACTATGGTAGAAATATGAGGAAAATTCAAAAAAGAAAGGCGTAAAATCGGCCAATAACAAATCACTGATACAACAGATGTTTATGGTTTGACCCCAGCATTAGTAATGCTAATTTAGGCTCCTCGTGTTTTAAGGTGGAAGTACAGGCAGCTTGCTATAGAAAAAATACTCCTCACCTCCATTACTAAGTAGCCAAGTGCTCCTAATGGTAGCTTCGTTGGATAAAAAGGGTATGATTGCAATTAAAAATAGTGCAGTCTATTAAAAGATGGATGGATGGGGTGTGCGATAGACTTACCTCCACGTGGTGCACCCTGGGCAACGTATACTCATACGGCGAAAAAGTCTATTAATCGGCAGCTGACTTCTGACTTTAAACTACTAAGACCCCACTGTATGTCATATTCAACCTCTTCAACAACACACATTTTGCCTTTTTCTCTGCCTTTGTGTCTGTCTGCCTCTTTTACATCTGTGAATCGCTCTTCTGCTCCCCTTCCTCGACTTTCTGCTACTTTGATGACTCTTCCCTCTGTGAAGCCCGAAGTCAACTAAAGGGCTAATGATAGCTATCAAATTGCCTGCCATTTGAAATAAAAATAAATATATATATTAAAAGATGTACAATGTTAGGAAGTGAAAAAACGCAACGAAAAATGATCTGGCTATTTTAAGGAATTATAATTTCACTAATCCATATATACTTCCCTTTTCCCAAATTTGATGAGAGTAAAACAGGCGGGGATAGTAGTCAGCCACTAATTATTTTCCCAATCAGATTAAAAGTTTCTCTATCCCATTTGGTTAATCTGTTTCATACCTATTCCCATATTATGAGAGGAACTCCTTATTTGTGGTCAATTTTAAGCATAATTAGTCAATCTTCCTTTAATCTTGGGCATAAAAGGGATTACTAGAACCAAGGAGATCCATCAAAATGGTTTGCAATTAGTAATGAGTCAACCTTTGAATAACTATAACGGGAGTGAGTGATAGATAACGGGTAGGGCAGAAAGTTCTCTGAAAGGACATAAGCGCTAGGACATTTAGATTTAAAGTGATGTAAAGTGAGATTCTTTTGGCATTCATTTTTATCATATAGGCGCGACCAAATACTCATAGAATTTGTCAAGACCAATTTGAAATAATCTTACCAGTACAGCAGGACCATAGGCTTGTGGTGTGGGTTGAGGAGGCGAGGGAGATCTTTGGGGTATTGAAGAAGATGACGGAGGAGTGCCTTTTTTTGTGAATGCTATCCCAAATGATGGTGGAATGAAATCCTGCTCTGGAACGGTCATTGCCCGAGCCAAACGATTTCTAGACAAATGGAAAAAATGTCCTCGAATTATCCCCCCTGTATATGGCATTACTCTTTGATTTAAATAAATAACTATTAGTGTTATTATATATCGACTAATATGGATAATAAACACGAATGTTTGAATTTGAATGCGTTCTTTCTATCTTATCTTAAAAATATTTCTTAGATAAAGGCAATAGAGAAAGTTAAGAATAGTTTCGAAATGCTTGAATTTCTTGTGCTCTGATCCAACTTCTGTCTGCAATGCAGAAAACACTTAATTAACTAATTAAGCACGAGGAACGGTTGAGAAGCTCATTGGGAGTGAAATTTATCAGCGCATTGAATTTTTTTACTGTGACACATTGGCTTCCTGCTCTCTTACGAATTCACCAATTTTCGAACTCGGGCATAATAATATATTGGGTTGGCAACTAAGTCATTGCCGATTTTTGTTGACAGATTCACTCTATACTTTCTTTTGTTTT